CTCATATACAAAACATAAAAATAAATCTATATAAAAAAATGTATAACTGAGAACCACCAAAATGTAGACTTTTAAAGTCAGGTGTCTGGAAGAGACCTCCAAGGAGAAAGTGGAGGAAGGGGGGAGGGAGGGAGGGAGGGGGAGAGAGAGGAGGATAAGTTTACATTTCACATCTGATCCTGGTAAAAGCAGATATTACATTGACCCAAGACATTCAAGGAATGTTCAAGCAATGTTATTAGAAAGTGGGCATTGTGCCACACATATTTAATCCCAGCCCCTGGGAGGCAGAGGCAAGTGAATATCTATGAGATTGAGGCCATCCTGGTCTACAGAATGAGTTCTAAGCCAGCTAGGGCTACATAGAGAGACCCTGTCTCAAAAAAACAAAAAAATAATGGTATAAGAGAATTGGACATACATGGACAAAGGCCAGTACAGTGCCTGTTATCAAGTTTGCACTTAAAAATATATTAAAGTGGGGGCTGGAGAGATGGCTCAGCGGTTAAGAACACTAGTTGTTCTTACAGAAGACCCAGGTTCAAATCCCAGCACCCACATGGCAGCTAACAACTGTCCATAACTCCAGTTTCAGAGGATCCAACAGCCTCTTCTGTCCTCCACAGGCATTGCACAACACAGTGCACTCACATACATGCAGGCAATACACTAATACACATAAAATAAAAATAATAGATAAAATATTTTAAAATATATTAAAGTGAATGTAGAGAATGTTCGTAGGTGTTCAGGAAAGAGAGCTGACAAATATTGAAAGGGATGGATGGAATGTTCCTATGAAACTTTCAAAGCCAACCTAGGATGAGATGAAGGAAGTTGAGGACAGTGCTCCTAGGACCTCTTGGTTCATCCTTCCCACCACCCAAACCACATAGATAAAATATTTTAAAATATATTAAAGTGAATGTAGAGAATGTTCGTAGGTGTTCAGGAAAGAGAGCTGACAAATATTGAAAGGGATGGATGGAATGTTCCTATGAAACTTTCAAAGCCAACCTAGGATGAGATGAAGGAAGTTGAGGACAGTGCTCCTAGGACCTCTTGGTTCATCCTTCCCACCACCCAAACCACCAAGCCACGCAGACTCCCACTGGTTCTCTTCTCACAGCCTTAGCTCTGCTTTCAGCCAAGACTTTATCATTCTTCCCCGCCCTTCACACTCATTAATATTATACACACTACTGTAATGGTTCACAAACTACACTGGTCATAAAACTCACAAAATATCGACTCTTTGTGTTGAGCGCATCTAAGTTGGCCAACTTTTTCCACTCCAAGTAACTTAGCTATGAGGTTGGCAGCCTCAAATAGGATTTCTTTATTTTTTAATGATCCTTAGAGAGCACTGGCTCACAGTCTCCAATTTTTGTTCATATTCTGTTACCCATCTCTTTCCATTTCATCATCATGTTGTTGAACTCCCCCATCAACCTCAGATCTTTTTACTGTTTATTTACTAATGTTTTATTCATGATTCAAGCCACTAGGAAGCATCTGTAAATATTTAACTGTAGCAGCTTGGTGCTTTTGAAGGTGGGAGTGGGTAGTTAGCAAACATGAAATGGACAAATCTAGTATCTATTTTTTAAAGATTTATTTTTATTTTTAATCATGTGTGTAAATGTGTGGGTATGTGCACACGAGTGCAGGTACCACAGAGGCCAGACATATCAGATCCCCCTGGAGCTGGAATATAAGCAGTTGTGAGTCACCTAACATAGGTGCTGGGCACCAAACTCCAATCTGCTTCAAGAACAGTATGTGTTCTTAACGGCTAAGCCGTTTCTACACCCCCCAATTTAAGGCCTTAAATAAACTATTAATTATTGCAGCCCTGCTTCAGTGCTTGGTACACAGTAGGCTCTCAGTACAAGTTTGTTGAATCAACAAATGAATGTATAGTATACATGGACAACAGTTTCTATGTGTAAATATCCTCCCAACCATCTCAACACAGAATGATATAAATTGACCCTGAACAACACATTTGGAATGCACAGGTTCATTTATAGATAGATGGCAGGGGGAGGGCAGACTAACAATTTGGAAAAATTCTCATATGAAACCTGTGACATAGAAATGTGAGGAGTGAAGAAAAACATTAAGTGTGTCAGAATTATAAAATATAAGTGCATAATAGTTAATTCATTGTTAACTACCATAAGATACATAAAACTGACAGAAAGTTACACATATGACACATCTAGAGCTGAGAGAAATGTAAACAAGCACGAAGATTCAGCATTGATCATAACTGCAGAAAATTGGCCGCCATAACACTGCACTATTGTAGTTCTTCATGCCCTTCCTCCTGCCATTTCTGTTGGGTTGGGTTGTGAGTACATGCCAAAAGCATGCACGAGCAATTCATCCCTTCATTGAATTCTGTCTTACCATAAAAAGAAGTGTCTGATTTATCGCATGTTTTCACCTCATGTCATATAAACTTACAGAACATGCTGATCTAGTGCTTATGATACCAGTAAAGTTTCCAGTCAGCAGCAAGTTCTTAGCTCAGTTTAAGGGAGTCCGAAGCTATGCAGGGAGTTTGGGGGCAGTGGGTACACTAACTGGAGCTCACAGAGTGCTAAGCAGCTCCACTGCCACACCTGTGACTATCACATACCACCTGATCACCATCACCACACCAAGGGAGGGAATGAAGCCCAAAGCCAGCAGCACGGCCCCCACTAAGATGGACAGCATGGACAGCAGCACCGATGTCACAAAAGCAGTAGCTGTACATCACAGCACCCGCAGGAAGGGACAAAGTCATTGCTACCAAGATTTTGGTTTTGGCAAATATTTTAGTATAAGAAAAGGATACGGGTTCATCAACAGGAAGGACACCAAGAAAGATGGTTTATGTACCAGGCTGCCAGAAAGACCAAGAAGCAGAAAGTACCTCTGTGGGGCAGGAGATTAAGAAACTGCAATTTATAGTGCAGAAGGAGGCAGGGGCATGAAGCAGTAAGGACTTCAGGCCTTGGTGGAGTTCCAATTTGAGGCAGTAACTGTAGTTAGGTGTGACTAGTACAGACATAGCACATCCCTGTCTTGGGAGTCCTCAGTGCAACTACCAACAAAGTCGCCACGAAAACATGAGTGGGAAAAGGAGAGCTCAGCAAGCACGGTCAAGGCCTGGCCCAACAATGTCCTTCCACAAACCAAGGTTCCCATGCTCCTGCAGAGAGAGACCCTGAGGCCCTGGGACAGTAGTTCAAACCCTCCTGGGTAGGTACAATAATGGATGCTGACACCCAGGGTGCAGGACCATAGGGTAGCCCAGTGAGACAACGTATATATTGGGCTGGGATACAGACCACGATCTGTGGGGGCGCTTCTCACTGGACAAAGACAACCTAGAGTAAGCATCAAAGAAGAGGACACAAAGGTCAAGATGAGACCCAAGGGCAATAGTGCCCTCCTCAGCATGGTACCACTCAATCACTCAGAAAACCCAAATACACAAGAGGGTGAATGAACAAAAGCTGCCCTTCTACCAGTTGAGAATTTGTCCAATCAGATGCTTCATGGGGCAGGAATGAGCGTACACACATTCACAACCTCCACCAACATTCAGTCACTCATCAAGAAGGAATGTGATGAAATTCCAATAAGAAACAGACAAAGACCTTAGGACTTGCTTTGAGCCTGCTGACCATATAACACAGTCACAT